GTGCGGTGTTAGACAGAGAACAAGTTTCCAAAGAAATGCATATCAACGATTATGGTTTAAGGCGGGAATTAGTGTTTGTGGGCTCCCTAAGTAAGGTGTGCTACTTGTTCATTTAATGTTTCTTTCATTAATAATATTAGTTATATTAGATGTTATATCTTTTCAAATAATATTGTGTTGATAATTAATTATATGTTTTACCCTTTTTCTCCAATACTTTAAGCTTCAGTCAGTATAATTTCAGGGACAATAGATAAATAAACATGTTTTATAGGAATGCAAATCAATATTATTTAAACCATATTTTCATAGTATCGATGGTCTGATAAAAAACCTTGCTCAACAAAACTATCCCTTAATATGTTAAATATTATGTACCACATTAGATAATGTTTATTAAGCTACCTAATTTATCATATTTGACTATTGTTCGGCACTTCGTTAATACCAGATGGCGCTACTATAGGATACAAGTGAATCTGCTATTTTACGCGTACTGTACATTTGGTATGTACATATCTTAAATTCATTCAAGATCACGTCTATAGCAAGGATGTGAACATTATCGGGTAACGTATATAGAAAGGCAATTTTAAAGTATTAAAATAATCTCTAAAATCCATAGCTTGTCATTATTGCACTTGACCTCTGGAATATCTTAAGTCACGCATGTATCTTTTACATGATTTATAAATCACGAATATATATGTACATAGTATTAGAACACAAAATCTGCAGTCACTGTAAACTTGAAAGTTGGGTACAATCTTCAGCCACATTAAATAATAGGTCTCCAGTTTGTCATATAAATCGTTTACTTGTCAAGAATTAAATTGTCGTTGTTGTTAAAGTATCGATTTTCAAGCTTCATTCACATAACTGTTTGTTGTTGTTTTTTTACGATGATGGTGGTACAGGTTTCAGTGATTAAGCATATAGAATTGTGATGTTTCATCACAATAATTCATCATAAGATGTACTGGACAAACAACATTTTTATTGAGCATGTTTCATTCCTTGTACATTACAGACAGCAAAAGCATATTCAGGGTATTGCCGTAGCAATGAGCTACTTGTTTTTTCAACTGATACACCGTGTAATTACAAATTAACGCATTAAATTCTTTTTATCCTATATTTCCTTCCTCTAAGCCCAAATCTAAAGGGTAGCGTAATGTCATGATAATATTAATTCAATAGCAGTACCATTGTTTACAACACTTTACTGGTTCGTTCGATATTCGTACATCAAGCGTAAGATAGCATTCTAGAGCAACGCCCTCTCTTATTTTCATGAAAATTTATCTTCACTGTGATGAAGGCTTCATTTTCTGTGCATTATAACTGAAAAAAGCCTAGTCTTCAGAGCACGACACCAAACACACAAGAGAAACACACGTGATACGGGATCAGATTAGGATTAATTTTATAAATTGTCATTTAGGCCAGCTCGCTGTTTGCACGAACTCTTATATAATCGAAGTAGCATAATAAATAAAACATTAGAAAATAAAGTCATTAAAATATTGCACATAATCTAACTTATATAACATATTGTACACTTATCGCATGGTAGTGAAAACCCACACCGAGTGGGAATGCAAGGTAAGCCTAATAAAACAAACTAACGACTAAACCTATTTCCGTACATCTACTTATTGAAAAATATTGTGAAGGCAAGTCGTTTAACTTATTACTGTTTTTTAACATTTTCAGTGCTGACTGAAGGATAGAAACCGAGTGGGAATGCAAGGTAAGCCTAATAAAACAAACTAACGACTAAACCTATTTCCGTACATCTACTTATTGAATCATATTGTGAAGGCAAGTCGTTTAACTTATTACTGGTTTTTAACATTTTCAGTGCTGACTGAAGGATAGAAACCTTTATTTAATGAGTACGACAAACAACTTTGGAAAAATGTTTAATTACTTGTACCCGACGTTTCAGCTTACGCCTTTTTCAAGGGTCTATAAACGTCACAGGTTACCAAACAGATTTTAAATAACAGTAACCGAAAACGAAATACAGCTACAACAATATAACGGAAAAGTGTATGTGATACGAGTACAGTCGAACAGTTTTGAGTCGTTGATCATAAAAATAGAGAAAATTATAATAATAGCATCAAAATAGGTAAAATTATAATGATAAAATTAATAATAAAATGTTAAAGGAGCCAGGCGTTGTACCTATTAATGGAAGGGCGTCTGGATTGTATCAAAAGTGATTCATTATATTTTCTGTCGAGAAAATTGTCACAAGTTTCTAAAATTTTGACAATTGAAACTTGTGACAAATATACACTTGCCCTGGTAAAAACTATACTACCCTCACAAAAACCTATATATTTCACGTGCAATATCCACTTCTTTACACACAAGTTTTGATTTATCAAAGCTAATCATGCTCTTTTTGTTTAATTTTATTTCATTATTTTTACAAACAATTAGCCTTGAAAGCTGGGATTATAATAAAAAACAAAGAAATCAGGATTATAGTAGTGAGATTTGAGGGTAAAAAGATATTTAGCTACTATAGTTAACAAGCAACGTCAGGTCTTTAACTATGCAGGAATCTGTTTACAATGTTCTTAGTAATGATGGGCCCTATAGTGGGTGCACGTGCAAAGTTCGGAAGGAAAATGCCTTGGGGCTTTCAAAGAGGTTAATAGTAAGGAAAAGAAAAAAATAGCAATAATAATAACTGGTGTAGTATCACCTAGTGTGTAATATTGGTCGGAAACTACAGGAGCAGGCCTACTGAATAAAAGACAATTGGTTGTACGGTGTTGTATAGCGTCATAATGTAAACAAGGTGTATCGCTCATAGTAGCACCTATTACACAAGCTGATATACACGATTATATGCTAAATCCATGCAAACTGTAATTATCTGTAACAAATTATTTGGTGTTATATCCTATATTCATTAGAAAACTTTAAATTCACCACAGCAAAAATAATAACAAATAGAATCGTGATTATTTAAATTTCTACAAATTATAAGTTTATAACATAAGTAGCAGATGCCCATTGAAACAATTCAACGGGATTTTTTCTAAAAATAGTGATGAATAAATATAAAATGTGCAACCAACCCAATCCCTTGGATCAGAACGTATATGCAATACGATTGTCTAGTGGGCCGTTTACAACTGTCTTTTGTCATTCCATGTGTTATTTCAATAACGAAATAAGCATTGAGTTTGTTTTTTAAACAAAAAGAGACTGACTACAATGCATTGTTGGCAAAAATGTTTGGGTTTCGATACAATTGATGCATAAACAGAACAGAGCGCTCAGGTTCGCTGAGTAGCCGCGGGGATTTTTCCGCTGGACGCCACAGTTTCTTGTCATTTTACTGAGCGCAAGAAAAGACCGCTACCGAAATGAGCGTATTTTGGCAGTTGTCATTTCTAGAAGAAATGTCAAAGGGGAGATATTCAATTCAATT